ATGAGCAGGGACCTCTAACACGCACACTGTGAACTCTTCCACCATCTGCCCTTGTCCTTCCCTTTTTGTTCTACAGAAGACAGGAGGAGATTCTCCTTCCAGTACATGAAACTCAAGATGTGAGTGAACCACACAGCCAGGCCTGTTCACCTATATCCAGTTTCAGTCCATAGGAAAAAAGGTAAGTGTTCCATACAGCTGTTAACCCAAACTTGCAATGGTCTACCTCAACTGTGGTCAATATGTGTTTTTAGTGGCAGTTTATAGGAACAATGTTTTTGTCTCCTGTGCTAAAATTGTGAGGCTTTCCATCCAGTTTGTATTTGACCCACAAAGGAGGTAAATGAGTGCTAGGGGATCAAACAGTAACTTACAATCTGACCTTTACCATCACCTTAATTGCAAGCTCTAGCTGTCCTTATCTGCAAAGTCACATCCTACAGTTTCCAATATTTCTGTCTGTTAAACTTTTTTTTTTTTTTTTTTTTTTTTTTTTTTGGTTTTTCGAGACAGGGTTTCTCTGTGTAGCTTTGCGCCTCTCCTGGAACTCACTTGGTAGCCCAGGCTGGCCTCGAACTCACAGAGATCCGCCTGCCTCTGCCTCCCGAGTGCTGGGATTAAAGGCGTGCGCCACCACCGCCCGGCCTCTGTCTGTTAAACTTTTGCAATGTACTAAAATTGCCACAGCCCTTCCACAGTCTTCCACATAAGTATTAGCATGCACATTTCTTCCTTGAGACCTATCTAGACATCACTATACTGTATGAAGTTTGAAATGAACTTAGTGAAAATAAGCCCCTTCCTTCATTCCTAAACACCATCCTCAAAGCCCTTCTTTATCTTTTGTTATTTGTTTACTACATGCACACCATGGTGTCATACCTTTGTCTATTCCACAAGACCACTCTGCTGCATGCAACTGACTGCACAACATTAACTTTGAGGTAGCCTTAAACTTTGTGGGCCAAGCCCCAAAACTATGATATTATACCCACCTCAGATAGACACCATTTTGCCTTTTTTTTCTTTTGTAATGACTTTGCTATTGTGGAGTTTGTACATCTTCCAGGTAGTCTGCATTGCTTTAAAATGGTAAGATTAGTCTTGAAATTTACAAAGATCCATCTTTCAAAGAGGCTTTCCTAACATTTCTCTTGCTGTTTGGTTGTTATGGTCTAGCTACCATGTTCTGGGACTGCTTTGTCTCCATCTCTGAAAATAGTACCTCAAAATACTTTATGTCTATAATTACAATCTATATCATTTTGAACAAGCATCTGAATCAGATCTTCCTATGACTGAAATATGAAAACTTTTACCCTATAGATTTTTTAATTTTTAAAATTAATATATAGTTACATTGGTTTCACCATTCCCTTTCCTCCCTCAAACTCCTCCCATGTATCATACTGCTCTTTCTCAAATTCATGGCTCTTTTTCTTTAATTATTGCTACACATACACACATGCATACATGCACACACACACACACACACACATACACACACACACACACAACCTACTCAGTCTGTGTAATGTTACATGTATGTATTTGATTTCCAAGCTGATGACTTTATATTGCATAACCAAATAGGGGTGCTCTTCCCTGGGGCAGACCATTTCTCTTGATCTCAGGATTTTTAGCAATCTATAGTTCTTTGTCCAGGTTTGGGTCCTGTGCTATTTCTCCCTTTTATGTTACCATGTCTATTGAGGTTGTCTTTGTTCAGGTCTTGGTTAGGCAGCCATATTGATGGGACTTCTTGAGTGTAGATTTCTTGACATTTCTAGGAGACAAATATTTCACAGCAGATTTCCTGTTCTTTGGACTCTTATAATCTTTTTTTCCTACTCTCCCATAATGATCCCCAAGTCTTAAGTGCAGGAGTTGTGTTGTAGATGTATCAATTATGAGTAGGTACTAAATAATATCTTTTTGTCTTCATTTGAATTGATTGTGGTTTTCTGTAATGGTCTCTTTCTGTTGCAAAGAGAAGTTTTTTTGACTAAGGGTGAGAGCAGCACTAACCTGTGGGTAAACGATAAATATTTAGAACGTCATTAGGAATATGCTGGTTTACTAAATTTGTGGTAATAGGTTCTCCTTCAAGGTCTATCCTCAGTAGCTTTGGGTAGCTGGCTAGGTTTCCAGAATGTTTATTTAAATCTTATAAAGAATAGAAGTATGTCAAGTTCTGTCTATTGCAAAACAATGTGGCTGGGGGTTGTTATCTGAAATACATATTTTTTTGTTTTTTTGAGACAGGGTTTCTCTGTGTAGTTTTGATGCCTGTCCTGGATCTCACTCTGTAGACCAGGCTGGCCGCGAACTCACAGAGATCCGCCTGGCTCTGCCTCCCAAGTGCTGGGATAAAAGGCGTGTGCCACCAGTGTCCAGCTATCTGAAATATTTTTATAGGTAGCTCAGGCTGTTTTCTAACGCATAATTCTAACTCAGCCTCAAATGTTATTGAATTAAACCTCAATGATCTCTGAAATTTGTAGATAATTTCAAGTGTAACACTTAATGCTCATTTCATTGAGCCCACAACAACAGACATCTTTGTGTTTCCAGCACAAAACAAAGTCTGATATCTTTCATAAAGTCAATACTTTTTTTTGTTTTTTCGAGACAGGGTTTCTCTATGTAGTTTTGGTGCCTGTCCTGGATCTCGCTCTGTAGACCAGGCTGGCCTCAAACTCACAGAGTTTTGCCTGCCTCTGCCTCCTAAGTGGTGGGACTAAAGGTGTGCACCACCACAGACTAGCTTCAAAGTCAACATTTTGTCCACTGTTATGGCCAAAGCAGCCATGTTGTTATTCTCCCATTGGATTTTTAATATTTCTCCATTTGACCCTCTTCACTCTTTTCTGTCCCTCTGTACTTGGTATCTTCTACCATCATCTTGTTCCATCTCCTTCTCCCTGAGCTCTCACCTCTCTGTCTGTGTCACACATATGCAGGTCACCCTACAAACACTCCTGATTTCCCTCCATAGGTCTTGATATGATTGATAAAGTTCACAAATACTTTAAAACTTTCAAAACTGTACACACTTTGTGGAAGGTTACTGAAAGCTATTTCGAATTGTTAGCATTCTGTTCTTTTTCTTTGAGCTATGCTTTATTATTCACTTTCTTCCTTAAAAGAGAAAATAGTGAAGTGTTTACTGAGATGAGAAATCAAAAATACATAGATTTTGTGTATGCAACCCCCAATTAAGGAAGCAATTGAATGGCAAGTGTGAAGCTCACTAATAGATCCCAGAAAGACTTCAGGATTCCCTTTCCCTGGACACACATAAGTCTGCCTCCAAGGATCTTTTCTTTTTTAAACTCTTTTTTTTCTTTTGTACCCTTTGCTACTGAATATAAAATGATCATTTCAGGTCTGAGTGAAGGAGCGGTCACAGAATCACAGATCCACAGATCCATATCTCAGGCACTATCTTCTTTTCTACAGATTTCTCCTAGTCATAGAGACCATGGCAGAGACAAAAAGAATGGACGGTTTTTCCAACTGTCACGCGAGGAGCAAAGTGTGGATGGGAAAGCTGTTCCGGGTATCTGAGTAAGTGATCTTATGAGAAAAAAGATGTAGACTGAACCTGTTTGGATAGCACAGCATCACAGGAGGCAGAAAAGGACCTGGCAAGTGAGTTCAAGGTACAAGAAACAATGTGTTCTTAGACTCATGCTTGATACTTGCTTCCCTTGACTCAAAGAAATTTTCAGACACAATGTGCATGTTTCTTCTTCAAAGTCTTAATGAAACTGTGTTTCTAGCATGCTTATGTGTATAGTTTGTCTGCTTGCTCAGCTCCCACTACAGGAATCTGAACCTGAATTCTATGTTCCCTAGGTCGATGTTTATGGTTTCCCCATGCATTGTGTAAAAGGTGGACAGTACGTAGAGGAAGCTTGTAGTTGTGGGCATGCATAAGGAAACTGCTTGAGTAGACGGTTTTCTCTAACTTTTGACACAAAATGAAGGTAATGGAGATGGGAATTGTCTCCACCCTGACATCATCGCCTTTTGTTATGATTATGTTGTTTTCCTTCTAGAAATCCTGCAAAGAAATCTTAAAGAAAGAAGTTCGCATGGATATTATATGCTTCTTATACCAGCACTAAGATGTGTATCATCTTGTTTCCATTTGTTTAAAAGCATCCTCTGTATTGTAGAAAATATACACTCATCTAGTGTGGTGGTCTGGTAGAGGAGGCTTGTGTGAGTGTGTAGAGCCATCTGGAGTGCTCTTCCTGAACTTCTCAAGAGGACTGTGAACATAACCCTGTTCTAAGCCATATCTATTATATATCATGGAAATCAGATATCTTCAATTTAAATGAACAAACTCTCTGCCAACACATATCTGTGAGTATGATGACCCTTGTGTGTGGTGTTATTCATCTGTCTTGCTTTATAGAAAATGGTCTCATTAACTCAGTTATCAGGTACATAAGCATATCATCAGATGGATAGTAATGTTGCTCATGTCTCCCACTCTACAATTGTCTGTGGCTTCTTTTTTCTTAAGTTATGACAAAGCATGTGATGACTGATAGATTCTTATCATAGATTTCTAGATATTTGTGTGAAACTAGATTCTTTCTTTGAAAACACTATCAAATCTTTCTATTAAATGCTATTCAGTACATAAATTAGTATAGATAAATTATTAATTGTCAGTCCTAGGACTGAGCCCTCTGTATACAGATGCTCAGTGTTTACCACGGGCCAAGTTTCAGAACTATTACATGTTCGTCATTGAATTAAAATACCTGGATGTTCACTAATAATGGTTACTACCTTATGTAATAAATATCTCCACACACAAGGATAATTCTCACTATCAAATATGTGAAATGATGGTTGTTGCAAGCTCATATGAATGTATAAAAACAAAATGCAGGGTTGATGTGTGAGGAACCCATGTACTTCTTTGTAGGGAGGATGTTGGCTCACTGTGCTCTCTATCCATCCTCAGATACTTTCAAGTCCCCATTTTCCCATTTATCAAGCATGAGCTCTCAGAAGCATAACCCAGATAGCCACCACACTTTCTTAGTTCTTTAAATAATACTTTATATACATCAGTTATTGCTATAAAATAATAATACTATTCCAGGGTGATTTGATAGTTTTCAAAGGAAGAAAAAAGAGAAAACTTTCTGTTTACAAAACCTGTCCCATCTGAACAAATTTTTAAATAATTTTTCTAAATGAGTCAGTACAACAAATGTATTCAGTGACTCCTCTTGTCTGATTCCTATACCATTAATGATCAATGTGATTAAAAGAAAGTCTTGTTGTGGGAATAGTTCTCAAATAAGCACCTTGACACTGATGACAGTGGAAGAGAGCAGATGTCATCAGTGGAACGAAGCCAGAATAATTCCAGCAAGGCCTCGGTCTCAGGTCCAGTTTGCATTATCAAACCACAAGGTGGGCAGGCCAGCAATCGAGATTTTATAGAAGCCTACATTGCATTCAGCAGGTTTTTAAAGGGCAATGGCATTTTGTTCTGGCTATTTCTCCAGAAGTGAAGTCATTCTTGGAAAATAGGCAGTACAAGGGATGCTCTAAGTAAATCAATCAATAAATATCCAATAATTGATCTTTTACCTTATTCCACTTCAGTCCACAATCACTGCCTCAAAAGAACAACATATTCTAGATTTCTTTTAAATGGAAAAATGGTTCTTGCTACTTCAATGTAACAAGGTTGAACACATACACACACATACACACGCACATACACACACATACACACACACACACACACACACACGAACTGCAATGAAATTGAATCTAAAAATAGTTGCTTTTCTATACTCTTTCATGACTCATGTATCCTTTTATCTACATACTCCATCATTCCACATCATCCAATATTACCATCTTGTGGAGTTCTAAATTTACAAATAAAACTAGAGTCATGCCTGCTTTCTAGATCATGAGCAGAGAGGATGAAAAGATGGTTATGATGTGCTATCTCACAGTAGGAACGTATACATTGTAAATGCTTCCTACACTAGTAGATGGTTTCTTAGAAGCCTCTTAATAAAACAAGGGTGAAGGAAATATTCATAAAGGGTTAACCAGGGATGGAGAACGTTGAGTTGACTTGATACATGAAACCCATACTTCATCTTCCTGTGCAGGATCCTTGCGCTCAGACCACAAGAATCAGCAACATGGCAGCCACAAATGTGGCAATTGGAGTGATCTTCTTATCACAAACTGTCACTGGAATTCTGGGCAATTCCTATCTCCTCCACTATTATCTGTTGCTTCACTTCAGGGGGTACAGGTTAAGGTCAACAGACTATATCCAGCAGCACTTGCTTACAGCAAACATTTTAAGTCTACTGTGTGACGGAGTGCCCCAGACAATGGCAGCTTTTGGTTGGAAAGACGTCTTCTGGGATATTGGGTGCAAACTACTTTCCTATCTCCACAGGGTTGGGAGGACAGTGTCCATCAGCAGCACCTGCTTCTTGAGTGTCTTCCAGGTTATTACCATCAGCCCCATGGGCTCAACATGGTCAAAGTGTAAATTGCAAGCTCCCAGGTACATTGGCTCTTCCACATATCTGACCTGGATCCTGTCCCTTCTTGTAAACATAGTTTTTCCTGTGCACATAACTGGAAAAACCAGCAATACAAATATCACAAGTCTAAAAGAGTTTGGATACTGTTCTGCTATCCGTCATGACAAAGCCAGTGACATCTTCTATTCAGTATTACTCACAAGTCCTGACATGTTTTTTGTGGGCCTGATGCTTTGGTCCAGCAGCTCCATGGTTTTCATCCTCTACAGACACAAGCAGAGAATGAAGCACATTCACAGGAGCAATGTCTCCCTCAGGTCCTCCTCTGAGACCAGAGCCACAAAGACCATTCTGCTCTTGGTGAGCACCTTTGTATGTTTTTACACAGTTTCCTGCCTCGTACATACTCATTTAGCTCTTGTCTATCATCCCACATGGTTCATGGTAAATGCCGCTGCAATTGTCTCTGGGTGTTTCCCAACTGTGAGCCCGTTTCTGCTGATGACCCATGATTCCTGTGAATCTTCATTCTGTTCTCAATGGGCAAGGAATAGAAAATACTAATCACATGGTCAACATGTAAACTATTTGTTTCTGAACAATGTTTAGTTGTTATTCTATCACCTATACATTCTCAGTACATTGGTGAAACTATCATATCATAAAGTGAGGGTGATACATGTGTGAACCATGCACATAAATTTTGCATGCTATATTATGTGCGTATTTGCATACCTTATTTTTTGTTAACAAATAAATGTCTTTAGTTAAGTTATTTATCAAGCTTAATAAAACCAAAAAATAACATATTAATCTTGATATTATCTTTTCCTTTTATTTGAGATATGATGCCCTCCTCTGATTTCCAAGGGTACCAGACAAGAAAGTGGCACAGACATACATGCAAAATACCACATACATAAAATCATTTTTAATTACAAGTACTTTTTAAAAGTCAGGTGACTATAGGAGTGTGGGCTTATCTGTGAGTCCTGGCTTCTATTTCATTGATCAGTGTGTCTATAATCATGTAAGTACCATGCTGGTTTTATTACTATAGTTGTGTAGTATAACTTGAAATCTGGGATAGTGATACCTCCAGTAGTTATTGTGTTGCTCATGATTACTTTAATAGCTCTGGGTCTTTTGTGTTTCCATACAAAATTTAATGTTTTTTTCAATTTCTGTAAAGAACTGCTTCCCAGAATTTTAATGGGAATTGTACTGAGTCTGTAGATTGCCTGGAGTAAGATGATCATTTTCATGATATTAATCCTGCCAATCCATGAGCATGGAAGTTCTTTACATGGTTTGGTATCATCTTCTGTCTTTTTTTTTCTTCAGTATCTTAAAATTTTCACTATGTGACTCTTTCATTTCCTGTATTGGATTTATTCCAACATATTTTGAATGTTGTGAGACTATGGTGAATGGTATTATTTCCATGGTTTCTTCCTCAGTGTGTATGTCGGAGAATGTAAAAACAAAAGAGAATGTCATGTTGGAAGGTAAGTAGGGGAAGAATTGAAGCTGAGAAAAGGGGTCTGTTTGATCAAAACATATTCTACATATGCATTTAAATTAAAAAAATCACAAAGGAGAAAATATGAACTTGAACAGAGCCAAAACATCGAATGAGATTGAAGCAGTATTAGAACGCTTCCCACAAAGCAAGGCCCAGATGGAGTCCCTGTAAATTCTTCCAAACATTTAAAAGAGCTAACACAAGTTCTCATAAATCTGTTCTATCAAACTGGAAAACAAGTGAGGTGACTCAGGCTCAGGTAGACGAATGTTGCATGTTCTCCTTTATATGAAGGTTATAACTAAGAGTTGTGATATTTGTCTATGTAAGTTGGAATGTCTTTGCAAACCTGGAAATGATGATGGTCCCAAGATGGATGAGAAAGACTTGATGAAAGGGTAGGTGGTGTGACATATGCTGGGGAAACAGAGGGCTGGGAAACTGGAGGTGGTGAGGATTAAATGGGGATGGGAATCGGATGTGGGAGAAGATGGTGGGAAGGACAGGATGAACTAAAACGAAGGATTTCGTCAGCACTTGAGGAGCACATGACCTGTCATTACATCTGTCCCTGCTGCTGTCACTTATCACTCACATTTTCAGAACCTTCAGTTTTTTTTTTATTTTTAAATGTAGTTTAGGTTTCCTTCTTATCGCTAAGGGCAGTACAAATGGTAAAGTGTATTTTGCTATAGAAGCTAAGTAACAGTTGGCAACAGAATGTGATGTAAGTTCTGATGTGCAAAGGGATCTAATGATTGGCTATATGAATTATTAGTGTATTTTATACAAATCTATAAGATCTTCATCATACATTTGTCTCATTTGGGTTATCTTTGAATATCGTAAATGATGGTGTCACTCAAGAGCAGTGGTTCACAATCTTCCTAATGCTGCGACCCTTTAATACAGTTCCTCATGGTGTGGGGACCCCCCAGCCTTAAAATTACTTTCATTGTTATTTCACAACTAATTTTGCTACTGTTATGAACTGAAATATAAATATCTGTGTTTTCCAATGGTCTTAGGCAACACTTGTGAAAGGGTCATTTACCGCCCCAAAGGGTTGTGACCCACAGGTTGAGAACCACTGTTCTAGACTCACAAATAGGAAATAACTAAGTAGGCTTCCTTGTGGGAGGAAAGAATGCAATGAGACCTCCATAGTTCACTGCTAGTCCTTCACATGTCAGACCTCAGTATTTCCTGCTCCATCTCAGTGAGATATTGTCTTCCACCTGGGATCAAGAATTATAAGACCATCATCTGCACCTCCAGTATTCTCTTCAGAGAGAGAGAGAAAATAGCAATTGTATTTCCCTTTTACCTGAGATGAACAATTCTCAGAAGAGTTCTTTGGCTGTTCACAGCTGCCTGTCCATTGCTACTGCAAGTGAAAAGATAATTGAAGATCTAAGGGGAGGTGAGGTCACAGAATCACAGACCCATCCATATCTCAGGCACTAGATACCTCTCTTCAGCACATATAGTGTTTATAGGGGCAATGGAACTGACATCAGGAACAGACAAGAAAAAGACTGATGAGTCTGTCCAACTGCTGTCTGAAATGGGGAGTCCATAAAGGAAAGCTTGTGTCGAGTGTCTTGGTAAGTGACCACACCAGCAAATGGGACTTGGGATTGGACCAGGTTGATGACAAAGCCATGTAGGAATTGAGGACTCTTGAGGAAAGTTTAGGCAGCAAAGAGACATAGAGCCCTGATCACACAGATAACCCTGCTTTGCATTTAAAGGTTCCCAGCACTAACAGTTGCTGTTGGGACTTAATCTGAGGTAATGAAGGCTTATCTTTAATTGATTAAAGGTGTTTGAAAATCAATCTGTTACTCAACCCCCAGCTCTGGAATCCTAGACTGGATGTTTGACCTTTTTAAGACTATGTATTCTTCCAGTACATGTTCTCAAGTCCATGTGTGGGATGAAGCTCCCAGCTTTATTTGGTCATCTTAGTTTTTTGTATAGATTTGAGGCCTCATTTTTATCTGTGGGTGTTTTAGCTGCAGGTATGTCTGTGAACCATGTGCGTGCAGTGCCCAAGGAGGCTGGAATAGGGATTGGATTCCCTAGAACTGGAGAAACTGATGTCGTGAGCTAACATGTGGGTGTTGATAGAACCCAGTTCCTCTGGTAAAGCAGTCAGCGCTCTTATCTCCAGCCTTGATTTCAAATTTTTTCTAGTATAACTTCATCTCATAAATATGCCATTTTTCATGTATGAGCTCTATTATAATATCAGTTAGCAATGCTGCTTCAATGGGGAAAGCACTATTTAATTACACTAATAGCACTTCAGTGTGTCATTGTTTTGTTTCTTTTTAATAATATTTTATTAGTTCTTTGAGGATATCATACATTGTTGATCATATTGCTTCCCCATCCCCTCCCAGAACCACTTCACTCCCTTTCCTTACCAACCCAACCTTGTATTCATTCTCCTTCTCTCTCTCTCTCTCTCTCTCTCTCTCTCTCTCTCTCTCTCTCTCTCTCTCTCTCTCTTCTCTCTCTGTCTCTCTCTGTCTCTCTGTCTCTCTCTCTCTCTCTCTCTCTCTCTCTCTCTCTCTCTCTCTCTCTCTCTCTCTCTCTCTCTCTCTCTTAACCTAACCTATCAAATTCAATTTGTGTTGTCCATATATTATTGGGTATGTGGCTTGCCTTGGAGCCACACTCTTAGGAAAAATACTGACGCTCACTCTCCTAGCAGCTTACCAGTTGCCAATAGCTCCTCAGCTAGAGGTAGGACTTCATGCCCAACTGCTCTATCCATGCTAAAATTTTATCTGAGTTGAGCTTACATAGGTCTTATCACAACTACAGTGAGTTCATATGTGTAGCTTCATTGTTGTTTCCAGAAAATCCTGTTTCCTTGTAGTCATCCACTGTCTCTGGCTCTTACAATCTTTCTATTCCCTTTTCTGTGAGTTTTGATTCTTTTATACTCTATTCTTGCATTGGTCCTACTTACCCTGACATTATGGCCTGCCTTGTGATTGCTTGAATATTTTTGTGCTAGAGTCATCATCCTGGTATTTAAATACGAAAAAAAAGTGAGTTCTGAGTAAATACCTGCACTTGGCTTATTGCACAGACTCATCTTGATGTAGGCCCCTAAGATACTGTGTTTCTCACAGTTGATGAACATGATCAAATATCTCAATGATCAATCTTTATTGGTTTTGGCTTACACAATTAATATTCACAAGCAAATGGATGCTTCTTACAGAAACATTCCATTGAAAGCATAATTATAAATTATGAAAAGCAAATTAAATACCTAACTTAAAAAATAAAATAAGGTCTCACTGGGGAGCTCATAGCTCTGGCTGGCCTGGAACTCAGTATGTAGATCAGGCTAGCCTCTGACTCACAGAATTCCACCTTCCTCTCCCTTCTCAGGTTTGAGATTAAAAATGTACACCACAATGCCCTGCTTTTAAATACACAACATAACGAAGAAGTCCAGTAACTAGTAATACTGAAAGCCTGTTGAATACGTGCACTCTGATAATACATAGCCACTTCCTTGTCAGCACCTTATCCTTTACCAAGCTTGAATTCAGAAACATGTAACCATTCTATGTTCAACGTTCAACTGTTTTCCTAATATTCATACATGACATCCTAGTAGTGCTACCTTCTAGAATAAAAAAAGGAAATTATCTCTTGGGCTCCTCATATAGCTGGAATCTGTTCACTGTAAATCCTTTATAAAATTACAGCATATAAGTCATTATCTATTTATAGTTCTTTGTCTAGGAGTGGGACCCTGTGAAATTTTATACCTTCCACATTAACGTGTCTATTGACTTTGCCACTATTACAGACTTGGTTATGCAGCTAATTTGAGGACAGAATACTCCTTCCTGGTGTTCTGGCCCTTACCATCTTTCCCCTCCTTCTTCCATGGTGTTCCCTAAGCCATAGATTCAGGACATGCCTCTCTCAGGCATGAGCCCCTTACTGGTTGTCCAATACAAAGTGGTCACCCCTAAAAATTTATACACACAAATAATAAAAATGATCTGTTTACTTTTATGTAACTGTGTATACAACATGCATTAATAAGTGCATGTAATAATAATAACCAAAGAGAAAGAAGCTATCAATTGAGAGTGGGGAGGTGTGCTAAGTGTTGGAGGGTGGGAACATAGGAAGGACTGAAGGAAGTAAAGGGAAAGGGGAAAGTGATGTAATTCTTATTTAAAACAATTTAAAATAAAACAAAATGATGTAATGAACTGAAGTGTATC